TTAATATAAAATATTTTATACTATAATATACCAAATTTATATTTTTATTTATTTATATTATTATACTATTATTATTTTATTTATATTATGTATTTAATAGTAGAAGTTTATTTTTCAGGTATACCCCTTTAGGGTGTTTATCCCGAAGGCCCTCCCTACATATTATATATTTAATAATAAAATTTATATTTTAATACACACACACACACATATATATATACTGTTCATGGATAATAATAAAATAATAAATAAAATCACGGATGATACTTGTCCTTGCACAAGTGAAAGAGAAATACAAAAGAAAAAAAAAAAATAAATAAATAAAAGTGAGATATTCTTCGATGCATTTGTGTATTGACGAAAAACATTGACGAAGAATGTAGTCGTCCTTCTACAAATTCTTTTAACCTTTCTTTTCCAACTTTCACGTGTTTCTATTTTGGGTTTTTCCATATTATAACAGTAAAAAAAGAAAAAATTGGCATGTTTGACGCAAAGATATCGAATACCAGTGTAACACATTACAATTTTAAATTAAAACACTAATCTAAAAAAAGAAAGAAATTTTTTTTTTTATAACATTTTCGTGGTATAAAACTGTAATCAATACGATTTTGTTTTTGTGTTTTTTTTTTTTTATTAATAGACTTAAATTTAATGTTTAAATAAATATTATTAAAAACAAACTCGAACACGTGGGATAAATTTGTCAAAGTAAAACAAAATTTAGTTTGTATTAATAAAAAAAAAAATAATTATCTCCATTTTCTTGTTTTTTTTTTTTTTTTTTCATTTAGTTGAAATATTTAATAAAATAATTCTCCGCCAATACAAATCTGAGCAATAAATTATATTTTTCAGTAATTTGGATTTTAGATTAAAAAGTGAAAGTATATCCTGTATGAACGTCTAAATCATAGGTCATTTTTCAAGGTCGACTGGTTGGTTACTAATTTCGTGAGACGAATTTTTACCAAAAAAACCCAAGACTACGAAAAATTGGTCTTTTAATATTTCAATTGTTATTAATTAAAATTCCTTTTATAAGGAAAACTTTGAATGAGAAACTTTTTAACAAATATCAAAATGTCTGTTGAATAAAATATGTCAATTGATTGTCACACACACAACACACACACACACACACACACACAGAGTGTCATTCTGAGTTTCAATTGGTCTTCTTTGTTAACCTTTGCCCAACGTAACGTTGTATTCGTTTCTTTTTTCTTTTTCCTCTGTTTTTTTTTTCTTAAGCGGTTACGTACGTATTTACATGCGTATTCATAGTTAAAATAAAAAACAGTTTTCAAACGTTAATTATGACCTTTGAAGCAAGATGTGGACGTCAATGTTAAAAAAGTAAAAAGAATATTAATCAGGGAAGAAAGCCAGCCAGCCGCCATTGATGACGTTGCTCTGTTTAAAAAGACATTCCAATTTTTTTAGTTTCTCTTTGTTTGTTTGTTTGTTTTTCTTTTTTTTTTTTTTTTTTGGTATTATTTTAAACTTTTTTTTTTCTGTACTTTATTTATTATTCTATAACATGCATGTAAATAGTAAATTTATTCTACTGAAACTTTTTAGACTGTCTAACAACGTCATTGAATGTTGGAAGAAAAAGAAGAAAAAGAAAATTAAACTCGTTGAATAATTTTTAAGATAATAAGAAAATAATAAAGTAGATTTCTATTTTATCGACGAAATGATATATTATAAAATTATCCATGTTTAATATGGTATACTCATATTTTTCTGTTTCCTTTTTTTTAATGGTAACTTTGTAGGATTTCTACATTACCGACAAAATTGTATATTACAAATTTTTATTTTTATCTATAGTTTACTTTAGTTTTTTTTTTTTATTATTATTTTGGTTATTTAAGTTAATTTTAATTTCAATCGTGATATATTAAATTAAAGATTTATTTTTGGCATACAATTTATTTTAATATGAGTTACCAAAATATATATTTTTTTAAATTGATATAGTATAGTAAGTGTATTGACTTCATTACTCTTTTTTTATGATTCAAATTATTTTTTTGTACATAACCTAACTTTTTAAAAACTGTTACATTTTTTACTGTTTCTCTGCAATAAAACTGCATACAATTTTGCTAAATAATCACCGATCCATGTATTAAAACCATGTTTATCGTTGCTTGACACGTAATCTTACGGGATTAATATTTTCAATATGGCTGTACTATTGACTCTTGATATGATTCTTAATTGATAGTATTTTTATTAAAAAAATTTGATTTTTAAAAAATATTTATATAAATTATAATCAAATTTTGAATATTAATCCTGTACAATAAGATTGTATCATACGAGTATACGTTTGTATCATATGCATGTGGTGCCATCTCTTGTAATATTGAGAAATTCAAATGAGAAATGTTTCCCAAGACTATATCATAATCTTTGGTAACGGGAAAATGCGATAAAATATAGCAGTATATTTTATTAAACGATTAAACTGTGCGTGACGTTAGGTAAATGTACATCGTTTAATCTTTTCAGTTTTAGATAAATCTATATAAGGAAAATTACTTTTTTATATAACAATTTTATCTTACATATATAAGTATACTAAAATTCCAAAATTCCAAAATTTCAAAATTCTTGTCATAGGTCAATTAATTTATGAAAAAATAAAATAAAAATAAAATAATGATTATGCATTAGAAAATTATATACACCCTCCCGAAAAAATATCTACAATACATAGATAAAGTTCAATAAATAAAAAAAAAATATAGTATAATAGATAAAATTATGTATAGTATAAAAAATGGCGCTAAAAGTGCAATGTTCCGTGACACTGTTGCTGTTTTCAATACACAAACACCTTTCAAGTAAATGATTCAAATGACAGGTTATTAATTTTTGCAATTTTTTTTGTTTACAATGATAAACTACAAACTCAAAGTAAAAGGAAGCATAAAAAATTTAAATTTAAAAGTGAAATTATTTCTATATACCAAATTGAACAGATAAAAATTCCATTTGTAAAAATTGCATCGATTTTTTCTTGAAAATTATTTTCCAATTTTGAAAAGTGTTTGAAACAATTTGCGTTTTAAATTAAAAAATTAAACTTACCTGATAATTCCATCGCTCCAGCTGAATATTTTCTTGATTTTTTCTTTTTGTTTGATGTCATCCTTGTTAATATCCGCCATTTTTTCTTCCGCACTATTTCCCCCGTTGTTTTCGTCTCGTTTTACGATTTCCTATTTTTTTTTTCTTCGTTTTCAACGTTAAAAATTGTTAAACTGATAAAACTTATTGAAGAAAATTTTTGTTATTTTTTTCTCAACGTCGACATATTTTCTTTTCTATTTGCTTTTTTCTTTCTTTAGGAACTCAACTCCTTTTTTCTTCTTCTAAAGATGTAACTGAAAAATAAAAAATGATACAAACAATTTAATTAAAAGTTTCATATATTACACTTTAAATACAATAAATATTATTTTATGCAATTATATGAATTAAAATTAAACATCTTTTAATGAAATTAATTCTGTTACAGTTCGTCAATTGACTATTGCACTTTACCACCACCACTTCACGACACCCGTTCTACATATATATGTTAAAAATATTCTTTTAGAAGTATAAGTTAAGTTCCCCTAAATATTTCATGCAACAATATGAATTATATTAATTAAAAGTTTTAATTAATTAAATTCTGTTATAGTTCGTCAATTGACTACTGCACTTTACCCCCACCACTCTACGACCTCCGTTCTACATAATAGGAAGAATGGAAAGTAAGGTCGTTTATACATATGTCAATTTTTATATTTTTATTTAAAACAAGTTTGTGTTGATAACGAGAGGATAATAAAAATTACATTATTTTATTTAAAAAAAATATAAAACTTGTTAAAAAATGTATTCGTTTGAATTTTAAGGTTAAAAATACGACATTACTTTTCAGTAATGTTATAAATATATATGTATTAAATATTGGGATCTCTGGCAGGGGCGTAGCGTAGTAATTCGACCTATCTACTCTAATTTGGAATTTAGTCACCAGATAGTGTATTTAAGTGCTAAAAATCCTAATATATGTTAAAAATATTTTGTTCAACGTATAAGTAATGTGGTTCCAAAAATTTGAACTACGTCACTGTATTAACGAAAGAAACCCTAACCTCTATGATTCATCTCAATATTCTATAAATGATAGAAATCAAATAAAACATTCTACAATAAATATTTTACAACGGACTTTATGTTAAAGGTGATCTACTTTTTTTGTTTGTTTTGTTTTTTGTTGTTGTTTTTTAATTAAATAACAAAGAAAAGAAAAAGTAAAAGATAAAATACAACGTGTATAATTAAAATCATGAAAATTCTCCACGACTCGTTTATATACTCTTATATATATATTATATATTTAATTGCAAGGACAACAAAATTTTTTTTAAATATACAACCTTGATGATCAAGTTATGCTTTCATTTATATACAGATAAAAAAAGGAATTGTTAACTTGTTCATTGCAAGCATGTTTGTTTGCCTTTCTTTTTTTTTTTTTTTTGTTTCATAAAAACAAAATTGATATGATAAATGGGGATGGTTGTGTACAGTAATATCAAACGATTTAAGAAAAAAAATTTTGTACATTTATCAACAAATACATCAGATAACAGTTTAATTAAATTTTACAGTTAATTGAATTTGTTTAATTATAGTTTATTTTTCTGATCTAAATTGAATGATTTAATTGTTCTGAATTTTTGTAAAAAATAATTAAATGATTATTTGACAAAGTGTATTTGTAAGAATTTGACTAAAATATACAAAAAAATGGAGAACCATATATATATACACACACACACATGCACTAGTGTAATATTTACAACAGTAATACGTGTGGTGCATTTATGTTTGAGAAAAATGAATCAAAATATCTAATATTTTACCTATGTGTTAGATATTTGTTGATAAAATGAACATATGCATTTTTAAAATTCTTATACTTTATATGTGTGACATACATACATATATACAATGTAAAGAGAGATACAGTAGAACATAAACTAGTTTTGCAAGTTTGCAATGATTATTTTTTAATTAAAATCTCATGATCAGTGTTCACTTTAAGAAATTAACGATTCCATTTCTTACGATTATTCGTCATTCATTTATTATTTTTTTTAATATATCAGTATTAAGAAAATTTTTCATTATAATTATAGATGATTTGTCGGTTTATTTGTATATAACTCGAATTATATAAAATTTGTTATCATCGTAAATACAAAAAAAAAAAAAAAGAAACAAAACATGTTTAGCTAAGTGATTTTGCTATTTTTCTAAATGTCATAATTATTATTGTAACATAAATGAGTTTTTTTTTTCTTGATGGGTCACAGATGTCGGTTTACTTTTGTTTTTTTTTTTTTTTAGATATAAATTCACATTAATATTATGTAATATTTGTAGAATATAATTATATGATTATGAGCATAATAAATTTTTATTATTTTATTATATATTATTATTAATTTGTTATTATATTATTACATATATATATATATTTATTATAAATTTTTATTATATATATTATTATATATTAGTATTATTTTAATTCTATTATTATATTGTAATATATTACAGCAGGGGTCGGCAACCTGTGGCTCGCGAG